ATCATTGTTCACAAATGCATCAGATAACTTTTCAGAAGTAGCACTTATATAAAAATTTAAAAGGACAACATATAGGTTTAGTGCAGGTTCAATGACAACATAAAGAGTAGTAGTTTATTCTTGAAACTTAAATTTTTAACACTGTGAAGTTAGTATTTGTCTTTTGGTTGAAGTAATGCAATTCATTCAAGTTTCAATTTGCAGAAGAAGAATAGAATTTGAAACTTAAAATCGCAACGCGAAAATGACTAGCGCAATGCGAAAATGACTATCGCAATGCGAAAATGACTATCGCAATGCGAATTTGACTATCGCAACGAGAGAATCGCAATGCGAAATGAAAATCGCAACAACAAAATCGCAACGCGAAAATGACTATCACATTGCGAATTTGACTATCGCAACGAGAGAATCGCAATGCGATTTTCATTTCGCATTGCGATTCTTTCGTTGCGATAGTCAAATTCGCATTGCGATAGTCAAATTCGCATTGCGATAGTCATTTTCGCATTGCGATAGTCATTTTCGCATTGCGATTCTCTCGTTGCGATAGTCATTTTCGCGTTGCGATAGTCATTTTCGTATTGCGATAGTAAACTATTCTTTTTCTGCAAATTGAAACTTGAATGGATTGCATTACTTCAACCAAAAGACAACCAAAAACCAATACTAACTTCACAGGGTTAAAGAATAAACAGTTTAAACAGTATTGGCAGCAACCGAATGAATTTACTAAGCAATCTAAGTGAAATTACGAGTAAATTTATCATCAAGTTAAATATGAAAAATATTAAACTTACCTCGTTTCGTAGAGTATGAACCTCGTTCTGCAACGATGCTACAATCTCACGTAGAGCTGCTACCTCACCATGTAAAGTAGACACCTCAACACGCCATGCACCATTGTCATCGCGTAAAGTACCGACCTCCTCACGCAAGGCATTGACCTCATTACGTAACTCCCCTAACTCATCCCGTGGAGGTGGAGAACAGGGAGATAAACGTCGTGACATCTTTGCCGGTCGCCTATCATGAGGTGATGGTGGAGAAAGGGCTCGATGATGTGATAGAATAGGTGATGACTCTCGTTGTGGAGGTGTATATTCGGGTCGATCAGGTGATGGCTCTGGGTGAGGTGATGGCTCTCGAAGTGGTGGCTACTCATCATCCGTGCCATAAAAAAAGCTTACTAGCTTGCACCATCAGTGGCAAGCTCAGCTTCCGTGGGTGTCAGCCTCTGTAATGGAGTGTTGGCCTCCTAACAATATAAAAGCTCAACAAAGTTAAACGTGTACTAGTAATAACTTGTTATAAACATATGGTATATTTGTTAACTTACATTATTTATTGTAGTATACGTTAGTAATCTTCCCATTGCTGCAAGGACCGTTTCCTCTTCCAGGAAAGCCCTAGGAATATCATTAGAAGTTTTTAATGCATACGTCTGCATGGCGGGAAAGGCCTCAATATCCAAATCTACAAACAATATAATAACAAACATTAGTAATTGTTAAAGAATTAATTATAATTTTGGAAACATTATATAAAAATTATTACCTTAAAGGCCCAAATAAAGCCTAACAAAGTGTATTTGGAACCATCGCCACGCAAACTTTTCCGATCATTAAAGGCAGACGACAACTTATTCCATGTAGATCTCCATAGATACGAACCCCACGGAAACAGGTTCCATGCATTTAGGTCCTCTACCAATTTAATTAGATCATTAGGAATAGGTTGTCGGGCTTCTCTGCCTAAAAAGCCGGCTTGCAAAAGTATTAGAAGGCATACTCGGACAACATCGACGTCATCCTCCGAGTAAACCATCTTTCTTATTAAATAATCTCGTCAAGTATTCCACGTGTAAATTCGACTTCTCCGTTGACTGCTCAGGAAAAACCCAGGAAAACCATGATAGGCGGGTAATATGTCTAGTGTATCGATCTACATCATCGTGTCCGAAGCGTAGACCGATGATTAAGCAAAACTCCTCCCGCCCAAAACACGTATACACTGGTGGAAAATCAAACCATATCTCTTCATCACGACGTTGTATAGTCTCTGGTAGATCGCTAGTCATGGTTTGAAGAAACAGATGGGTCAACATAGCATCTCCACCCGGATGTTGTACTTTCAGCCATGACCCGAAGCAAGTATCCTCAAATATTTTTCTTTGTGCAGGTGAAAGCTTCGACGCAATTGTTTTGGCCAGGCTTACTTTATTTCTTAAGGTCAATTGAGCCGAATAAAAGTTCTGCAAAAACAATAAACATACCAATTTAGATATACCAAAAACTACACTGTGAAGATATGAACAATAAAGAGTAGTAGTTTATTCTTCAAACTTAAATTTGCAACACTGTGAATTTAGTATTTGATTTTTGGTTGAAGTAATGCAATTCATTCAAGTTTCAATTTGCAGAAGAAGAATAGTTTCTGAAACTTTAAATCGCAACACGAAAATGAAAATCGCAACACGAAAATGACTATCGCAACGCGAATTTGACTATCGCAACGCGAAATGAAAATCGCATTGCGATTCTCTCGTTGCGATAGTCAAATTCGCATTGCTATAGTCATTTTCGCGTTGCGATTCACTCGTTGCGATAGTCATTCTCGGTTTCAAATACTAAAAATGAAAGAAACTTGAATGGATTGCATTACTTCAACCAAAAGACAAACAAAGAAAAATACTAACTTCACAGGGTTAAAGACTAAACAGTTTAGCATATTGGCAGCAATCGAATGAATATAAGCATCTAAGTGAATGGTTAATCTATTATTGAAAACACCAGTAAACTTATCATCAATTTCAATATGAAAAACATAATAATAATGCAAAAATTTCAAAATAAAAATAATTAAAAAAAACTAACCATCGGGTGGTTGATTTGGTTGATTTTCCATTTCTGACCGTGAATGATTTCGCCGGAGATGGAGACTGTTATCGTCGTGGGGACTGATTTCGTCGGAGATGGGGACGAATGTCGCCTTAGAGAGTGAGAGATGGAGATGAGACTGAGTTGTGATTTAGGGTTTTAAGTTATGAGTTGCAATTACGGGATATACTGTGGACGGTTCAGTTTCTGATATATTAATATATTCGTGTTTGGAATTTGAAAAAAAAATACATGTTAATACGAATGGCGCTTTGTAAATCGCATTGCGATAGTCAGATTCACATTGCGATTTACGTATTCGCATTGCGATTTACGTATTCGCATTGCGAATTAGGAAAATCGCAACGCGAATTTGGGAAATCGCAATGCGATAGTCAGAATCGCGTTGTGAATATGGAAACTGATTTGCGATACCGGAGATCGAGTTGCGAATTATCGATCGCATTGCGATTTAGTTGGTCATTTTGGCAAATCCAAAAAAAGTTGGTTAAAATCGTATATTATAAGGCATTTTTGGTCACTGAGGTTATTTTCTCTTTTATTTAAATACCATTCAATCTTATGGTTCTCTTGACGTTCTTTATAGTGATGTTTGGACCTCTCAATTGTTGAAAAGTCAAGCTAGGTGGTGCATAAATGCACCGAAAGTGGCTGGAAATGTAGGCACCGAAAGAGTCTAATTAATGCACCGATTTTTTTGTTGAAAATGTGCAATGGTAAAATCTCAATTTTAGTCATTATAATTTAGGGTATTTACAAATTAGTTCTTAAGCTTCAACTATAAATACCCTAGCTCATTTAGCTTCAAAACCATCCCAAATCATTTTAGCTTTCTCCCAATACTAGAGAATTTAGAGAGTTTTCTTGAGAGTTGTTTTCTCCTTTTTATCAAGAGGGAATTGTCATTGTTTTCTCCTTGGTAGATCGGGAGAAGTTGTAATTCCTATTTTCTTATAATGAAATTCTTCTACGGTTGCCTGTGGTTTTTACCCTATATTATTGAGGAGTTTTCCACGTAAATTTTGTGTCACTTTTATCTTCATTTTTATTTTCTCAAATTATCAGTTGCGATTTTGCTCAATCCGATAGTCGTATTTCGCAACAATTGGTATCTGAGCCATATTAGAGTGTGTAATATCTACTTATTGTCTTTGTGGTTGTCACCAAAAGGTGGATCCTCCAACATAAGAAAGTAAGAAGGTATTACCTATTCTTTGAAGGTTCCAGAGAACTATTCACGATAGTGAAATAGTGGGAGCTAATCCGTAATAGAAGCTATGGCAACGAAATTTGATATTGAAAAATTCAATGGGAGAAATTTCTCATTATGGAAATTGAAAATGAAGGCCATCCTGAGGAAAGAAGATTGTCCAGCAGCTATCAGTGAAAGGCCGGTAATTTCACAGATGACAACAAATGGATCGAAATGTACGGGAATGATATGGCAAACTTTCATCTAGCATTAGCAGATGAAGTATTGTCAAGCATCGAGGAGAGAAGACAGCTAAGGAGATATGTGATTATCTCACCAAATTGTACGAGGTCATATCGTTGTACAATAAAATTTTTAAGAGGAAATTGTACACTCTCCGTATGTCAGAACACTAGTAGAAAAAACCCTTTAATGACGCGCATTGCGCGTCATCTATGGGTGCGGATGACACATATTTGCTTGTCGTTAAAGCCACCGACATGAATTTAAGATGACGTGCAATTGTGCGTCATAAATTCATGACGCATTTATGACACATTTATGACGCACATTTGGCATTCATTGAGCGTCATTGAAGCCCCCATCATAAATTAAGATGACACACATTTGTGTGTCATAAATTTATGACACATGTATGACTTACATTGCGTGTCATTGAAGAACACGCCATTAAAAAAAATGACACATTCGTGTGTCGTGATTGTATTTCGTAAATTATTGTTATATATATATATATATATATATTGTAGATTGACAAATAATCAAACTAAATCACATTTAATGCCTCATAATACTAAATATATATATCATATTATATATAAGCAATCCATTTGCATACAATATATTCACATTAAGTTACAAACATAATATCCATCACCTATGGCTATTTAAAAACAAAAAACCAAGAATGTTCTCAGATTATCACAAGAAGATACTAACAGATTATAAGATCTTAGATGCAACTTCTCTAGCTTCTTCTGCATTTTTGAAGTTGCTTCTTCAGAGTCGAGAACTCTTGAAACAAGATGCGAATGAGCATTGGCTTCAACTGAACTAGTAGGAACATCAGATGCACCAACTGTTCCCGAACCCTTCCCAAAATTATAGCACAAAATCCATTCTACCTGCAGGTTTCTTTGATTTGGATCCAATAAATCTGTTATTTGCTCATTGTATATATACAAAAGAAAATTGAAAATGAAGTGATAAGGAATAAGAATAGTACAACGCTAAGCAGTCCAATTATGTCAAAACTAAGAATCAAAATAATTCAATTATGTTTATCACCATGCTTAATTCACAACTTCTAAACGGGAAATATAGTACAACTCAAATACCCACCTTGGCACATAGAACTCCAATTACAATCCCTCTAAGGTAGGAAAGACAGACAATAATGCATAAAGTATGGAAACAGGAATTACTCAATCGCACTGATTTAGCAAATTAGATTACTAAATTACATTCCGATCAGTTGGTAACCACAGAAGTCACATATAAGTTAAATGTCCTCGGGAATATACTATTAATAGTAATTTAACTTTGAAATAGGCTTGCAATGCTATATGCATGAAAAATAGAACACATAAAGGATATCATAAAGACAAAAACAAGAAATTCATAGATCAGTTAAAAGCATAGCAACAGCGCCCCAAACAAAGGGAACTAATTAACAACACAGAAAATATTAGGAACAAAGGGCATATTGACAGTGGAACTTACATTTTATTAAAGAACGTTTCCAATAATACTGAGAATTAAGCTTATTGATTACAAATAATAATGCATTAATGCTTACCTTTGGGACAAGAACTTTCCATGTTTCCACTGCCTTCAAGTCTAAAAATAAAATTAACGACCAAAAAATTCAATTTTATAAAACAATTACACTAACTTTCATCATCATGGGTAGTCAAATTACATGCATTTAATCTTCAAGAGAAACATTAAACTATATGCTTATATTTACCCGCAATTCAGTTGCACTATACAAGATTGTTTCTCTCAATTCCAGCATCTCATCATCGGTAAACCATAACGGATTCCCAAAAGTGGTGGGAAGTATATAAAGATACATGAACTAGTCTTTAAATCCACATAAATAATAAATAAAAGAAAAATAAAAGAAAACAATCAAATATGTTAAGTACATACGGTTTCCATGAAGAATTCTTTCGGAGATGTTCCACAGTAAGAAGTCTTTAAATCCGTTGTTCGTTGAACGAGAGGGAATTGAAATGTAAAGGGTTGAAGTAAAATTAAGTTCGGTTCGGTAACGGATAATCCTGCAAAATATTACCTGGCACTGCAAATAAACAATCTTCACCTGCTACCACTTTGATATATCTAAGCAATTTTCGGCTTCACGACAAAGATTTTATTTTGCACACAATATTTTAAACTAATATGCCCTTACCATCCGGGCGTGTACACAAGAAATCAGTGGATCGACCGAGAAGCTCCTACAAAGAAGAAAAAAATACTTGCTTCATATATATGACAATAGTTAGCAGAATCAAAGAAAATGGTAAATACAAACAAGAAGCATCCATCAACTAATACAAAACAAATATTGACAACCTGCAACAATCCTAAAGATATTTAAGACATTATTTGGAAATAACAAAATAAGCAGTACAGGACAAAGAAAAAAACAATACAATTGAATAAGTATAATATTATGCCTAGGCGTTTAGGCAAAAACAACACCAACCAGGAAAGGTGACTGTGGATTCAAAGAAAGTCAAGATAGATTACCTTATGTCTCGATTCTTGATGTGATTTGGACTCAAAGTTTCATCATGCATATCATTTCCATAATCATAACTTGACAGCATAGATGACAAATATAGTTGCAAAATGTGACTACCAATAATTTTAGCAAACATAAAGGCAAGAGTAATTCACTCGAAGAAGACAACCAGAAGGAAGTTCCACCACCACAAAACCGAGCATGATTCATGTATTACCTCAAAAGTAATGAACCCGCAAAGGGTCCTGAATTTTGTTATGGACAAAGCCATCTCAGGTTTATGATTAGCATCCTTATAGAGATTTCGCTTCAACTTATGCAATTCTTTGGCCAATTCTTTATCCGGATGTGCCTGTCTTGAAAGGGGTTTTGCCAATGAAAGTATCTATATTAAAGCATATGAAACACATAATCAGTCCATAACTGCATACCATACAATATTTTGAGCTGTGAATCTTGAACGTTTTCGATGGATTCAAAGCTATATATGAGAATGAGGTTATTTGCTTTCAATGCAACCCATTCTAATATATCAGTATTCATCATAGAAAATGGCTGATTCAACCATCATCCAGGCTTCCCTTATCATCCTACTTGTTTTATCGGCAAGTGCAAATGAATGTAGAAGCAAAGAGTTATAGTGGCCGTAAGACAATGCAGAAAACAATTATTGATATGGTTCTAGCCATTACCAATAAAATGAAAAAGAAAACTCATTAACCCAATTCCAAACACATGCACACAAAAATCAAAATTAAATTTCCCAGTATTAAAAGGAAATGAGAGGAAAAAAAGAAATTCCCAAAAAGAAAGTAGAGAAATACGTGTAATAGAAAAGAACAAACCTTGAATAGAAAATGAAGATCATGCCCCCATTTTTTCAAAACCTTGTGACCAAGCACATTCGGATTCTTCAAAATCCAATCTCTTAAACCTAAATTTCCACATTCTCCATTATCATCAGCCATAAAAATTGGCTCTGAGTCACGGGTTCCCATCCAAAACTTAGCATATGGCCTATCAGGCTCAATCTTAGACTCAGAATTCAAAGCCAAAAGCCTCACCACCTATGCCTCTGTCCCACATCTTCCCCAATCGTCGTTTTGAACCTAAGCTCTTAGCTGCTTCACCTTCTCGACATTAGCCTTTGCCATTTTTGAACAGAACCCCCATAAACGAAACAAAGGAAACTGATTTTGAAGAAAAATGAGAAGAGAAGAGATAGGGCTACGAGAGAATGCTAATGCGGAAGGGAGGGTGCATTTTTTGCTGGTATTTGAAAAGTTTGAAAGGGTACGTAGAGAGAGGGAAACAGACTGGAAAAAGAGACCGAAAAGAAGTGAAGATGAAAATTATGGGGGGAAATTAAAAGATGACCTTTAGAGATGACACACAATGAAAGTATTCTGTGTATTTGCTAAATTTTTTAGATTATGACTATTAAATATGACACATATTATTGTAAGTCATAAATCATTAAGATTTTAAGAAACATGACATTTTTTATGACACACATGTTTTGCAAGTCATAAATTAGCGTGTGTCATCGTTTGTGTGTCATTAAGGGTATATTTTCTTGTAGTGGAATCTACTTTAGTGACGGAGCACTTAAACACGCTGAACACTTTATTTTCTCAGCTTACATCCTTAAGATGTACAATAGGAGAACAAGAACGTGTTGAACTTCTACTTCAAAGTCTACCTAATTCGTATGATCAATTCATTATCAACTTGACAAACAATAATGTCACCAGTCTAGTCTTCGATAATGTTGCAGCTGATGTTCTATAAGAAAAAAATCGGCGCAAGAACAAGAAAGACAGATAAGTAAATATGCAACAAGCAGAAGCGTTGACAACGATGAGAGGGAGATTAACGGAACGTGGCCAAAGCAACAATCACAAACATGGTAGATCAAAGTTGAGAAGCAAGAAGAATTTAAAGTGCTTCAACTGTGGAAAGAAGGGTCACTTGAAGAAGGATTGTTGGAGTCTAAATAAAAACTCCAATCCACAAGGCAATACCACAAACACTTCAGATAATGGAGATGCTCTATGTTGTGAAGTGTCAACCACCATGGAAGGTAGAAAAAGATATGCAGATATATGGCTCATTGATTCGGGAGCAACATATCACATGACCTTAAGAAGAGAGTGATTCCATCACTATGAACCTGTCTCAGGAGGATCTGTGTATAGTTGCAATGATCTTGCCTTAGAGATCGTTGGCGTGAGAACCATCAAATTGAAGATGTATGATGGAACAATTAAAGTTATTCAAGATGTGCGACACATGAAAGGCCTAAAGTAAAATTTATTATCCTATGGATTGTTGGATAATAATGCAAGCAAGATTGAAACATGAAAAGGAATCATGAAGGTGTTCTGTGGAGCGCTTGTGGTGCTGAAAGGCGAAAAGATAACAAAAAAGTTATACATACTGAAAGAAGAGACTTTGTTAGAAGCAGAAGCCTCTTTTGCCTCATGTAGTTCAGATTCTGCAATGTTATGGCATCAGAAACTTGGACACATGTCAGAACAAGGAATGAAAGTCTTTTTGGTGCAAAAGCTACTTCCAGGCTTAACAAAGGTATCACTTACTTTGTGTGAGCACTGTATAACAAGTAAGCAGCACCGATTGAAATTCAACACGTCAAATTCTAGAGGCAAAAGTGTTCTAGAATTGGTTCATTCTGACGTATGGCAAGACCCAGTTACATCCCTAGGCGGAGCAAAATATTTTGTCTCATTTATTGATGACTACTCCAGAAGATGTTGGGTGTACCCTATTAAGAAGAAGTCATATGTGTTTTCCACTTTCAAAAACTTGATTTTGGAAATAAGATCAAGTGTTTCAGAACAGATAATGGTGGAGAATACACAAGTGAAGAATTTGATGACTTTTGCAGGAAAGAAGGCATCAAAAGACAGTTCACAGTAGCGAACACTCCTTAAAATAATAGAGTGGTAGAGCATATGAACAAAACCTTGTTAGAAAGAACAAGAGCAATGTTAAGGGATGCATGCCTAGAAAAATCATTATGGGCAGAAGTAGTCAATACCGCTTGTTATTTGGTGAATCGAGCTCCATCAACTGCAATAGAGCTGAAGACACCAATGGAGATGTGGACTGGTAAACCAGTTGATTATTTAAACCTCCATGTATTTGGAAGTATTGTGTACGTGATGTAAAACACCCAAGAAATTTCAAAGTTGGATCCAAAATCCAGGAAATACAAATTCTTGGGGTATGCTGATGGTGTAAAGGGGTATCGCTTGTGGGATCCCACTGCTCGTAAAGTGATAATCAACAGGGTTGTTATCTTTATAGAAAATAAACTACGAAGAAAGAAGAAGATGATAGCGTTGAAAAGTCAGAGACTACACAGATACATGTGGAAAAGGAGGTTGAACAAGGAGATTCTTTTGAAGCAGAACCATCACATGATGAACAAGAATCAAATAGTTCTAAAGCTCCAACAACTCATCAATCAAATCATGTGAGAAGACGTCCCAATTGGCACTCAGATTATATTATAGAAGGAAATGTTGCATACTACCTTTTAACAGAGGACGGTGAGCCATCAACATACCAGGAGGCAATAAATAGCTCAGATGCTTCACTGTGCATGATGGCGATGCAAGAAGAAATTTAAGCCCTTCATAAAAATAATACATGGGACCTTGTGCCACTACCACAAGGAAGGAAGCCAATTGGTAACAAATGTGTTTTCAAAATCAAGAGAAATGATGAATATATCAAGTGGAGAGGTATCGTGCAAGACTGATAGTCAAATGATATGCTCAAAAAGAAGGTATTGATTTCAATGAAATCTTTTCTCCTGTGGTTCGACTAACAACCGTTCGAGTAGTCTTGGCAATGTGTGCTACATTGAACTTACATCTAGAGAATCTAGATGTTAAAACAGCTTTCTTATGGAAATCTTGAAGAAGAAATTTATATGTTCCAACCTGAAGGTTTTAAAGAAAAGAAGAACTTGGTTTGCAGGTTGAATAAATCTCTGTACGGTCTAAAGCAGGCGCCAAAATATTGGTATAAGATATTTGATTCCTTCATTATATGCCTTGGATACAACAGACTTAATGCATAACCTTGTGCTTATTTCAAGAGGTTTGGTGATAACGATTTTGTTATATTGTTGTTGTATGTGGATGACATGTTGGTTACAGGACCCAACAAAGATCATATTGACGAATTGAAGGCACAACTAGATATGGAATTTGAAATGAAGGACTTGGGATCAACAAACAAGATTGTAGGGATGCAAATTCACCGAGACAGAAGTAATAAGAAGATTTAACTTTCACAAAAGAATTACTTGAATAAGATATTATCACAATTCAACATGCAAGATTGTAAGCCAATTTCTACCCCTCTTCCTATTAACTTCAAATTATCCTCCATTATGTCCTAGCAGTGAAGAATAGAGGATGGAGATGTCTCAAGTGTCGTATGCATCGTCAGTGGGAAGTTTAATGTTCGGTATGATATGCACAAGACCAGACATTGCACAAGCAGTGGGAGTGGTTAGTCGGTACATGGCAAATCCAGGCAAAGAGCATTAGAATACAATAAAGAGTGTTTTGAGATGCATCAAAGGGACCTCAAATATTGCATTATGTTACAGAGGATCAAATTTACTTATCAATGGGTATGTTGATTCTGACTATACAGGGGATTTGGATAAAAGCAAATGTACTAAAAGATATGTGTTCAAAATTTCTGGTGGAGCTGTAAGCTAGGTTTCAAAATTACAGTAAGTTGTGGCTACATCCACAACAGAAGCAAAATATGTAGCAGCTACACAAGCCAGTAAAGAAGTAATTTGGTTGAATATGCTATTGGAGGAGCTTGGGCACAATCAAGAGTATGTCTCTCTGTTTTGTGACAATCAAAGCGCCTTGCATCTAGCAAGGAATCCAACATTTTATTCAAGAACAAAACACATACGTGTTCAGTACCACTTCATTCGTGAAAAGGTGGAAGAAGGGGCGATAAATATGTATAAGATCCATACCAAAGACAACGTAGCAAATTTCATGACGAAGATGATCAATGCCGATAAATTTACTTGGCGTCGATCCTCTTGTGGCCTATCAGAGACGTAAGCAACATGAATGTACAAGGTAGAAAGAATGGTGTGAAGATATGATTATTCCAATAAAATCTTCAAGTGGGAGATTGTTGAAAAGTCAAGCTAGGTGGTGCATAAATGCACCGAAAGTGGTTGGAAATGTAGGCACCGAAAGTTTCTAATTAATGCACCGATTTTTTGTTGTTGAAAATGTGCAATGGTAAAATCTCAATTTTAGTCATTGTAATTTAGGGTATTTACAAATTAGTCCTTAAACTTCAACTATAAATACCCTATCATTTAACTTCAAAACCATCCCAAATCATTCTAGTTTTCTCCTAATACTAGAGAATTTAGAGAGTTTTCTTGAGAGTTGTTTTCTCCTTTTTATCAAGAGAGAATTGTCATTGTTTTCTCCTTGGTACATCGAGAGAAGTTGTAATTCCTATTTTCTCATAGTGAAATTCTTCTAGGGTTGCCAGTGGTTTTTACCATATATTATTTAGGAATTTTCCACGTAAATTTTGTGTCTCTTTTATCTTCATTTTTATTTTCTCAAATTATCAGTTGTGATTTTTCTCAATCCGATAGCCGAATTCCGCAACATCAATTCCCTCTTATGATGGTTACAAGTATTATCTTATTTTCGTAGATTATTATTTCAAATATATATAGTTTTATCATCTCAAACACAAAATGATGTTGCTACTGTTTTTAATAAATTCAAACTTAAGGTTGAAATATCTTTTAAACATCCTATAATCAAATTTTTTAGTGACAATGGTGGAGAATATATTGGTTTAGATCCCACACTTGAATCTCATGGCATCACTCATCTCACTTCCCCACCCCATACTCCTAAACATAAAGATTATTTAAAATGTCGTCAGTCATATTATTGAAATTGACCTTTCTCTTCTTACTCATTCCTCTATACCACAATATATTGGTCCTTGACCTACTGCTTGTTACTTAATCAATCGTATGCCTATTTCTACACTTAAACTTCAATATCCTTACTCTAAACTCCATGGCCATACACCAAATTATCTCAAACTT